GCTCTTTATATATGGAGGACCATAGTAGACATATGTCCAGGGACCAGCCAGCACCAGAATGAAGTTTCCCCTGGCGTAAAATCTTCTTCTGGTGGAGGCATGCATGTGCATGCCAATCCCTGGAGCTTAGAGGAAGCACATGAAGTCCTTTGGCCCTGCCTCATAATCAATCAGAAACTTCTAAGAAAAAAAATGAAGCCAGCTGAAAGCAAAATGGCAAAGGCTGGGGTGTAGGAGGGGGCACACATGTACAAAATCTATGAGGCAAGTTGTCCACAGAGGGGCACCTGCCATGTGCCAGTGCTCTGTGAGTGGTTCCAAGCTTGAAGTTTCTAAGCACTTGGCCCCATTCAGGGGCATGTGGGTGGCTTGTATGGGTGGTGACGGGATGCGGCCCCTCTCTGGGCCGTGCCACCTCCTCAGCCCAAAGGGAAGCTGAGGGAAGTAGCTGTGGCCCCTCATTTACCAGGAGGTGATGGGGACGAGGGAGAAACTCATGGCAGTGCTATGACATCCATGCTTCTGCCTGCCCCATTTGACAGCCAAGAAAGTGAAGACCCAGAGGACAAGGGTATGTGCTGAAGTCACAGAGCTGACAGATGGCAGAGCAGGGGTCAGAATCCTGCCCTCTACCTCTCATACCAGTAACCGGATAGAGCCTGGTGGGGCAAGGGCCATGGTGTGGCCCTGGCAGGCTTCCTGGAGGAGCGTGTCTCTCTCACTCACTGAGCTGCATCTCTCCACCTTTGGGTCCTGGACAACCTTGAGACACTCTGCTTAGGGCCAGGCTCTGGATGTGTGTGACTCTAAGGGATCCTGATGATGAAGGTGGCAGGTTGATGGTGTCTATGTGTCACTTCTTACACCCTACAGCTTCAGCAGTGCGGAGTGGGGTCTGTGGGGAGTGGCACTTCCGTCCCCAGGGCTGCCCACACCTGCCGAGCCTGAGTCTGAGTCTCGATGTGGTCCCTGGTTATTCACCGTATGGTGAAGTTTGAGATGTGCCTCTTCTCTACTCCCTGGCCCTGGGAGGGAGGCCCCGAGGGGTCACACCAGCTGTCCCTGGCCTCCAGGCCACTGTGCTCCACAGAGAGGTCGAATGTTGGCCCCAGGCAGGAGGGGGTCTATGGTGTGGGGGAAGGTGGTTCCCTGTGCTGTCTTGGTGCAGGTTGGGCCCCAGGTGGGGCTGGCAGGGAAAAAGGGTGGGCTTCTCAGGGCAGGCCTTTCGTGGAAGCCAGGCCTTTGGGACCAACACCCAGGATGCAGCCAAGCCCTCTGCTCCAAGGGAGAGGCTGGGGTCACTGTCTAACTGTGGGGGTGGCAGGGCTGGGAACACCCCAACTTTCTGGCCTCTGCATATTTCTGCTCCAGGCTCCTTTCTCCTCCCCAGCTGTGGGACACTCAGAGCTGCAATGTGAAGCCACTTCTGGATTATTTGGCCACTCTGGGCCTCCATTCCCCAGACTGTGCACCCAGTGAAGGCAAGGCCTCTCCATCTCATTCACTCCTGTGTCCCCACCCATGGGAAAGGGGCAGGAGGCTGACAATGCCAGTGAGGCAGGAAGAGGGCAGGGGGAGGGGGCTCAGACCTGAGCACCTCCAGGGTTCTTGGAGGCTCACATAGCATGTGTCCTTATCTCGGGCAGACTGGAGGCCTGTTGGGGGTGTTGGTGGGAGGACACAGTGGGCGTCCGTCTGGAGATGTCCTGGTGGGGGCTGTACACTGGAGGGTAGCCCTGACCAGAGGATGGGCACACTTTGAAGCCGAGGGTCCGTAAACCAGTGACATTCTCTTTGTGATCCGCAGAACTTGGGTGCATTGTGGGAAACTGGAAGAGCAGAGTCTTGAACTCCCAGCAGTGGCCTGGTCAGGCATGACGGGCTGGATATAAGAGTGTGGGAGGGGAACGGGGGCATGCGAGATGGGCATCCCCTCCCCCTGGCAGGGAGAGGCGACCAGACCAAGCTAGAGACTTGGAGTCTTTCTGGGTCTCTGTGGCCTTCAGGGGGGCTGCATGCCAAATCTGGGCAAACCCAGGCTCTGGCCACTGACACCACTGGCGTCCCAGCATTACCAGCCCAGGGGAGCGCAGTGCTGAGTTCTGAAGCATGCGCTACAGCCTCCCAGGGGTGGGAGGTCTGCCAAGTGCAGACCATGTCTCCCCTGCCGTGTCCCATGTCCCCCATGCCATGTCCCATGTCCCATTCCCCCCTCCCACACCAGGTCCCAGACCTTTGGGACCCTGAGTACCTTGCAGGCCTGTGGTCAGCACCCCAGGGCCCTACAGCTCCTTTGCCCCTTGGTTGGTTTGCCCCCCTTTCCTGAGGCTCTCGTGGAGAGGCCACTGAGGCCAGTGGCCTGTGCAGGTCAGGGACCTCCAGTTGGCAGCAGCTGCATTGATTGAGCGCCGACAGTATGCCCTGTGCTTGGCATCAGCTCTTTTATCCCCAGTATTGTTTTGGGAGCTGCTGGACAGTGAGGGCTGAGGAGCCTTCTTTCTCCTGCTTTCTTGGAAAGACCAGTGCCCACATTCCTGGCCCTCATTTGTGGGCAGGCGTCAGTCCCAGGAATGGGAAAGCAAGTTCCAGAGAGCTGGAGGCCATGGGGAGAGAGCAGAGTACTTGGCCTTGGCCTGGGGTGGGTGAGGCATGGGCTGGGAGAGTCCTGGTGGGGGTTCTTGACCCCACAGTGGCCTGACCCTAGAGGTGATGGCATTTTTCCCTCCCGTTGTGTTCGGGGGGTGAAGTGATGTATTAGGGCCTCCTACACCATTCATTCTTTAATATAGTCAACAAGTTTTCCAAGATGAAACAGCAGAGGGGACAGTGGTGCTGGAGGGGAGGGGATGTGGGGGTGAGCAGGGCAAGGAGCAATGGACCACAGAAATCCTCATACACTGTGAGGGTGCTGGTGGTCATGGCAGGGTTTTATGCAGGGCCTGAGAAAGCTCAGATATCCTTTTGTTTAGTCTTATTTATTTATTTTAATTTGATGTGAAGTTCACATAACATAAAATCTACCATTCTAAAGTGAACAATTCAGTAGCATTTAGTGCATTCACAGTGTTGTGCACACATCACCTATATCTAGTTCCAGAACATTTCCCTTAGCCCCATATGAGACCCTGTGCCCATTAGCTGTCGCTCCCCGCCCTCTTTCCGCAGCTTGGCAACCACGAAGCTGCTTTCTGTCTCTGGGGATTTGCTTGTTTGGGACATTTCATATAAAAGGAATCATATAATTTATGACCTCGTGTGACTGGCTTCTTTCACTCAGTGTGGTGTTTTTGAGGTTCATTCACGTTGTAGCATGAATCAGCTTCATTCCTTTTTATGACTGAGTACTATTCCATTGTGTGGATGACCACATTGTGTTTATCCATTTACCCTTTGGTGGACATTTGGGTTGTTTCCACCTCTTCTCTTTTTTTTTTTTTTTAAAGATTTTATTTATTTATTTGAGAGAGAGAATGAGAGACAGAGAGCACGAGAGGGAAGAGGGTCAGAGAGAGAGAAGCAGACTCCCCGCTGAGCAGGGAGCCTGACGCGGGACTCGATCCCGGGACTCCAGGATCATGACCTGAGCCGAAGGCAGTCGCTTAACCAACTGAGCCACCCAGGCGCCCCCACCTCTTCTCTTTTTTTAAAACTTCGTTGTTTGTTCTAAGACGACCTTTGCCTCCAGAACGTTTATTTTGAGGTGCAGCAATCTCTATTTAACTTGCCTCCATCCCCCCATTGAACTACCCCCATAGGTAAACCCATCCTCTTAGGGTAGATATTCTTGGTTTTGTGGCTTCCCCACAGTTTGCTGTGCCCCACGCCCTGCCTGCCTCATTGGCCATGACAGACAGGGAGGTCCCACCCACTCTGTCACATCCTGGGCCTGGGTTCAAATTCTGCTATGTTGTCTTCAGCTCTGGGACTATGGACAGGCTACTTATTGTGTCCCTATCCCTGGAAAGTAGGACCAATGGGCCTTTCCCCTCCACTGGGCAGTCATCAAGTAGAGCCCAGAGCCAAAGTCTTTGGAAAATGACTTTGTGGTCGTGTGGCTGCTCTCCCCTGGGGTGTTGAGCACAAGGAGCTCACTGGGCAGGTGTCAGAGTAGCTGGGCCTCCAAGAAGGTTGGCCTCTCCTGGCCTGTGACACCCCCAGCCCTGGAAGAGCTGCCCTGGAAGCCGTAGTTTCCTCCCTGTCACCCACACTGGGGCTCCATGCCAGCACCTTCATCCCACCCCCACCCTCTGCAGGGGACAGAAGAGGGCTTTTGCCCTCTGGGGTGGCTTGCTAGGGCATGGGGGACGGTGATGTGACACGGAGAGTTGGTCTGTCCACACTATGGAATATTAGCCACACAAAGAAGTGAAGCATTGATTCATGCTACAACATGGATGAACCTCACAAACATGTGGAGCGAGAGAAGCCTGACACAAAAGGCCGCACAGTGCGTGATTCCATTTACATGAAGCATCTAGAAGAAGCAAATTCAGAGACAGAAGACAGATTGGTGGTTCCCAAGGGCTGGGGGAGGGGGGGTGAAGAGGGACTGCTGATGGGGGTGGGGTCTTATTTTGGGTGGGGGATGAAGATGTTCTGGAACTAGCTAGAGGTGATGGTTGCACAACGTTATGTATGTACTAAATGTCAGTGAATTGTTCACTTTAAAATGGTGAATTCGACGTTACGTGAATCTTAGCTCAATAAAAAACCAAAATGGGCATTAGAGCCTCCTCAGGTCCTAGGAGAAACCCTGCCCCTTTCACAGGTGGCAAATGGAAGCCGGAGGGGCGGTGTCCTTTGCCAAGGCCAGTTGCCAGGCAGGTGGCCGATTCGATGGGGACCCAGATTTTGTTTCTGCTTCTCCAGAGCTGGTTCTGGCGATTTTGCCTGTGCCGGGGGCAGCTTCAGAGCCCAGGTAAGCCAGCCCAGTGTCCCTGGGCAGAGACTAGACAGACCTGAGGCCTCTGAGCTCAGCCCCCACTTCTGCTCTCCTGCAGCATGGCTGACAAAAATGGAGCTCTCAAGTGCACCTTCTCGGCGCCCGGCCATAGCACCAGCCTCCTGCAGGGTCTTGCTGCCCTCCGTGCCCAGGGCCAGCTGCTGGACGTTGTACTCACCATCAACAGAGAGACCTTCCATGCGCACAAGGTGGTCCTGGCCGCCTGCAGCGACTACTTCAGGTGAGCACAGGTCTCGGGGGATAGGCCGAAGAGTGCCCACCCAACTAAGAGGGAGTGATCCTAGCGCCAGCCAGCCAGCCAGCCAGCCAGGATGGCTCTGAGGGAAAGTGGCTGGTATTGGCCACACATTCAGTAAACCTGAAGTTTTTTCTAGATTTGTAACTTTCTCAAACTTTTGGGGGATATGGTGCAGGCAAGCAGAACATGCCTGGGGGATAGCGTGGCCCATGGGCACCCAATTAGCAGCTTCTGCCCTGGGGGAGTGGCAGGGCTTGGCCTTGTTTTCATTCTGTCTTTATTTGACACCTGTGTGTACCAGGCCCTGTGCTTGGCCTCGGGGATCCAGCAGAGACAGGACAGACACAAGTCTCTGCCCCCATAGGGACAGAGACTGTACTCTGTACTAGGGAATAGGAGGGAAGCCCAGATGGCGGTCCCCATGCGTGCCAGACTGTGTCGTAGTCCCCTCATGACAGGTGAGGACTTTCTGGGTGTACTGGTCAGTCTGCTGCGAGAGCCCTTTCCTAAAATCCCCTTCCCTGTGCTGGGTTGTATGTGTGTGTGGGGGGGTGAGGGCCCCTTGGAGCAGGGCTAGAGCCATTCTCACCAGCTGGGGGCTGTCATGGGCTGAAGACAGCCTCCCTCATTTCCTCAGTGACCAGCTGGCCAGTTCCTCCTGCCAGGCTGTGACCCTGCCAGAGAGAGCTGGGGTGCTGTCCTGGGGGTGGTGCTCTGGCCCCACTTTGCCAGTGGTGGCTGGAGCGCCCCTGCAGACTGTCTCGCAGAGCCTCAGCTTAGGTGTGTTCCGAGGGCTGCACAGTCCTCGAGGCTAGGGTGGCAAGGCTGGGATGGCTTGCCGGGTGCGCCCCCCAGCTGCCCGCCCCCCAGGCTCAACAAGGCTGTTCTGGGGAGCCAGAGCAGCCAAGCCATCTGGGGCGCCGTTTCTATTTTTATTCTGGATTTGGGGACGGGTGGGCCGGCCCAGCCAGAAATGCCCTTTAAAGGCTCCTCTGCGCTGGCACTGCAGCTGGCGAGGCCTTAAAAGGCAAAGCTCCCTCCTGTTGCCGTGGCTGCCTCTGCCTTCGATGGGCTGATGGGACTCATGGGGACAAGAAGGGGCAGGGTCCGGGGGGCTGCCTGAGCCCTGCTCCTAGGAGGCTCCATGGTGCTGCTGTTCAGAGTGTTGGGCACTTGTTAGTTGGTGGCCCCACAGTAGCACCAAGCTCAGCTGTCCCCACTGTGGGACCCGAGCCCAGGCCACACTGGGTGTGACTGGGGGACAGCATCTGTTGGATGAATGGATGAGGGAAGTTCCTTCTTCTTGGTCAGCTGTCACAATATGTGCTTGCCTTGTGAGAGGAACCTCTTATGAACTCCCAGAGGGTGCTGGGGTACTTGCCTCTCTTCCTGATGGGGGCTCCCCAAGGGCCGTGGGGTGCTGTGACCCAGGTCCTGTTTTTCTTACTGGTGCTCACATTAGCTCTACTTTCCAGAGCAGGACAGAAAGGCTGACAGCTAGTGTCACTCACTGGGGGTGGAGGGTGTCTCACAGTGGACTAGGGCTCCTGTGGGCCATTCTTGGAGGGCTTTCCTGACTGTCTGGAGATGACAGTGACTTTGCTGGGGCCTCCTAGTCGGTGCTCTGACCTGGAGACCCTTACCCCCTCCCCATCCCTGTGTGGCAGGACGGAGACTCGGGCTCGGGAAGGTGGAGCCACCTGCCCATATGTGCCTGCTGGTGAGGGGCTCGGCTCTGAGAACCACGGTGCACGGTGTTCTTGGGGTCCCCACCTTGTCTCTTGAGCCTGCCGTGTGTGTGGTCTTACAGGGCTGGGTGCCAAGGTGGGGCTGGCGTCTGTCTCATGGCCAAAGTCAATGTTTGGCCTTTTCCTGCCCACCTGTACCTGCCCTGCCATAAGTGGTCCCCCGGCCCCTCCCTCTGAGCCGGGGGGGGTCCCAGCAATCCACACCTCTGGGTAGGCTGGATGTGGCCCCACGCAGAGGGGCAGAGTGGGGAGCTGATGTTTGTAGGAAGACACAAGGCTTGGGTGGATTAAAAATCTTTTTTTTTTTTAACATGCCTTTAATGAGCATCTGACCTCTTTCTCCGGGTTGGCTGTGCCCTGCTCATGGTGTCCAGGGGCCAGGCTATTCCTGGGTGGCCATGAGGCCCCTTGGCTGCCCTGAGCCCACATGCTGTGTTTCTGAACTTCAGGGCCATGTTCACGGGTGGCATGAGGGAGGCGAGCCAGGACATCATCGAGCTGAAGGGCGTGTCCGCCCGCGGCCTGCGGCACATCATCGACTTTGCCTACAGTGCCGAGGTGACGCTGGACCTGGACTGCGTGCAGGACGTGCTGGGTGCGGCCGTGTTCCTGCAGATGCTTCCCGTGGTGGAGCTGTGCGAGGAGTTTCTTAAGGCCGCCATGAGTGTAGAGACCTGCCTGAACATCGGCCACATGGCCACCACTTTCAGCCTGGCCTCGCTCAAGGAGTCCGTGGATGCCTTCACCTTCCAGCACTTCCTGCAGATCGCGGAGGAGGAGGACTTCCTGCACCTCCCGCTGGAGCGCCTGGTCTTCTTCCTACAGAGCAATCGGCTGCAGAGCTGTGCGGAGATTGACCTGTTCCGCGCGGCGGTCCGCTGGCTGCAGCACGACCCGGCCCGGCGGCCGCGTGCCAGCCATGTGCTCTGCCACATCCGCTTTCCGCTCATGCGGTCGTCAGACCTGGTGGACAGCGTGCAGACGCTGGACATCATGGTGGAGGATGTGCTGTGCCGGCAGTACCTGCTGGAGGCCTTCAACTACCAGGTGCTACCCTTCCGGCAGCACGAGATGCAGTCCCCGCGCACGGTCGTGCGCTCCGACGTGCCCTCCCTGGTCGCCTTCGGTGGCACGCCCTACACCGACAGCGACCGCTCTGTCAGCAGTAAGGTGTACCAGCTGCCCGAGCCCGGCGCCCGCCACTTCCGGGAACTCACCGAGATGGAGGTGGGCTGCAGCCACACGTGCGTGGCCGTCCTGGACAACTTCGTGTACGTGGCCGGGGGCCAGCACCTGCAGTACCGCAGCGGTGAGGGCGCGGTGGACGCCTGCTACCGCTACGACCCCCACCTGAACCGCTGGCTGCGCCTGCAGGCCATGCAGGAGAGCCGCATCCAGTTCCAGCTGAACGTGCTGTGCGGCATGGTGTACGCCACGGGCGGCCGCAACCGGGCGGGCAGCCTGGCCTCAGTCGAACGGTACTGCCCGCGGCGCAACGAGTGGGGTTACGCGTGCTCTCTGAAGCGCCGCACCTGGGGCCACGCGGGTGCCTCGGCGGGGGGCCGCCTCTACATCTCCGGTGGCTATGGCATCTCCGTGGAGGACAAGAAGGCGCTGCACTGCTATGACCCTGCCGCCGACCAGTGGGAGTTCAAGGCACCCATGAGTGAGCCCCGCGTGCTTCACGCCATGGTGGGTGCCGGCGGCCGCATCTATGCCCTCGGTGGCCGCATGGACCATGTGGACCGCTGCTTTGACGTGCTGGCAGTGGAGTACTACGTGCCCGAGACGGACCAGTGGACCAGCGTGAGCCCCATGAGGGCCGGCCAGTCGGAGGCTGGCTGCTGCCTGCTGGATAGGAAGATCTATATCGTGGGGGGCTACAACTGGCGCCTCAACAATGTGACGGGCATCGTGCAGGTGTACAACACGGAGACGGACGAGTGGGAGCGCGACCTGCACTTCCCAGAGTCCTTCGCGGGCATCGCCTGTGCCCCTGTCCTGCTGCCCCGGTCAGGGACCAGGAGGTAGCCCCTGGTACCCCTGGGACCCGGCCCAGCCTCAGGCTGTCTCTGCGAGGGGTGTGGTGAGCGCACACTGGGGCCGAGAACCACGAACCACCCCGGGCCCGTGGGCTGACGTCATGGGGCCTGCTGTGTTGATGAGGCCCCCTTCTGGGGTCCCTCCTTCCTTCCCAGAGCAGATCCTGGCTTCGTGCCCACCGAGGGAGCCTGCCAGCGATGAGGCTGACGTGTCATGGCAGCAGAGGCACACCCGAGGAGGTTTCCTCACCTGCCCCATATCCCTGCTCACGGAGGGAATCGGGGTCTCCTTTGAGGTGTGGTTGTGTGGCTTTGTCCCACTTCTCTCCTCCCCCGGCTCGGCGGCCTCAGACATTCTGATGCGAGCTCGTTAACGTCGATCCCCAAATCCATGGTTTGTGCCCTGCCCCCTCCCAAGTTTCTTGCATCATCTATTTTTTTAAAATAAACACCACCCCCAAACTCTGTAACATATGGACCTCCAGGAGCTGGTGAGGTGGCAGGGACGCACCCAGCTCAGGGTTGACCTCGAGTGGGCATATTTCTGCCTCCAATAAGCCCAGGCTGCTGGGGTGGGAGCGTGGCCTTGGAGGAGAGTCTCACACTTGTCTCCATGCCTGTCTTCGGTCCCAATACCTTCGGTGTGTGCGGTTGTCCACTTTCAGAAGGAAGAAACACAGCCAGCTCTCAGAGACGGTCCTCATAGTCGGCCAGCCTTCCATTTGGCGCGGGGCGTCTCGTGGGGCCTCGGTGAGGAGCAGGCCAAGATGCCCCCGTTCCCTTCCTCATCCCCTGGTGCAAGGGTGACACCTGCTTTAGAACTCACAGTGTGTCTGCATTCCTACGAGATTTTTATCTCTCTCCCTTTCTCCAGCCTTCCATTCCCACCTTGTCCTGTGTTCAGGTTGTCCTGCCACCAGGCCTGGGCCCCCTCAGCAAGGGAAGTCGGGTGGGTGGTGCGGCCTCTTCCCTTCAGGGGCTTTGCAGCAGCTCCGGCCACATTTGTTTTGTTGTCAAACCTCTAAAGTTGTTTATTATTATTATTATTTTGGGGGGGTTCTATTTTGCTTTCTTTTCTTTTCTTTTTTTTTTTTTTTTAAGATTTTATTTATTTGACAGAGAGAGACAGCGAGAGAGGGAACACAAGCAGGGGGAGTGGGAGAGGGAGAAGCAGGCTTCCCGCCAAGCAGGGAGCCCGATGCGGGGCTCGATCCCAGGACCCTGGGATCATGACCTGAGCCGAAGGCAGACGCTTAATGACTGAGCCACCCAGGCGCCCCTATTTTGCTTTTTTTTTTTTTTAAGACACCGGCATTGCTGTCTTATAAATGGGATTTGTACCCTCGGGGCAACTTAAAGTATCTCTTCTGCTGCTAATGGACGATTGATGTCGTGTCTCTGTGACCCACTCACCGTGTAAAGAATTAACCTCATATCTTAGCAGATGTCGTCTCCTAATATTTTCCTTCATTTAATAAAAATGTTATGGTGAAAAGATGGAGCAGGCCCAGCGCTGAGCTTGTGGGGCCTGATGGGTCACAGATTCCTCATGTCCTCTCTGTGGTTAGGGGCTCCCCTCCCCTCTTTGCCCTTTTCTAGCATTGCAGAGGAGCTGGAAGGGGGGCTGGCCTTTGGCTCAGGGGTGTGGGGCAGTGAGAAGTGTGGCCAGAACTTCTACCAGGTGCCGGGAAGAAAGGGCAAATCTGCCCTGGGCTGGGTGGCCTTCGGAGAGACTCTCTCCAGGTTGTTCCATGGGCCTGGTGGCTTGGCCCCTTGCCACCAGACAGCTGCCAGCTCCTGGCAGGTTGTTTCCATCTGCTCAGTCCTGGGGTGTGCGATTGGGGAGCTGGGGAGCCCCTCTCCCTGGAGGCCGTGATGGCGGAGACGCAGGGCAGGTCCTAAAGGAAGCATGAAGTCATCTCCATTCCATATGGGCCTAAGAGCTCTGTGAATGGCTCCTAACCCCTGCTCTCATGGCTGGCCTCGCCACGAACTGGGCTGTATGTTGGTGGAGAAAGCCTGCTGTTCACGGACAGTTTTCTGAGAGGAGAGGCGTCCAGGATCCCCCTCAAAATGCACCCGCAGGCCTGGTGCTCCTGTGCAGCAGCCACTGGGGCCCCAGAGCGAGGCCGGATGTGTGGGTGGGGGGCAGCGTTGAAATAAAAACTTGGTTGGGAACCAGGAAGGAACCCATGCTGCCAGGGGCATTGAAACGAAAGCAGCAGCCCTTGGGGACTTACCAGAACATTCCAGTCCCTTTTTACCCCCCCAACCTGAGCTCCCCCAAGGAGAACCCTTCCCTGCTAGAGGCATGGCCCCTTCAGGGGGGGCAGTGAGAATCTTTTGCCAGCTGCAAGTCCCCCCAGATCAGCTCACACCTCAGAACATCTTGTCCCCAATGAGCTGGCAGGGGTGCCGGCGCAGGGGGTGTGGTGGGGGGGGGGCGCTGCCGTATCTAACCGGGTCGATTGTGCATAACCGCCTGGGCTGGTTCATGGAATGTTCTCAGGGGCCCCCTGCCCCTCCCTCTTCACCCGCCCCCCCGGAAGAAAGGAAAATTATTTTTCGTATTGTAAACTTTAAACACGAAAAAGCTGTTTTTAATTTAGCAGAAACTGGCTTGAATCTTCAGTTTGTGAACGTTTGTGTCCTTCAGAGAAAGGCGGAACGTGCATTTGCACACACACCCTTACACAAATGCACGCACATGCGTAAGCTCACATGCACACCTGCACTCACGCATTGTGGCATGCACACTCACATGGTGACACTGGTGCTCACATGTAGCCTTGCTTGTATGCTCAACGACGTGCTCACGTGCTTGCTCACACAAACACAATCACACTCACCCTTGGACCAGCCTGGGCCTCTCTACTTAGCACCCTGAAGCGGTCTGGAGCCTGTCACCTCATCTCCTCCATTCACCTTTCACCCAGGGCGGCTTGGGCCATGAATGGCCAGCCACTGCATGTAGGGACTGAGCTTGGGGAAAGCCCGTGTGCTTCCAGATGGCCTGCTTCCCCACCAAGGCCCTGGATGCGGCCGGCAGGAGCCTCCCTCCACACCTGGGCTCGGGCTGTGGGAAAACACTGTCTCCCGGGACGGTGGGATTCAGGCCCGCTAGAGGCAGGCCAAGTGTGACTTCTGGGGCCTCGCAGCAAGCGAGGCCAAAGGGGCCTCCGGGGAGCTATGTGAGGTGGGAATCTGCCCCGGACCTGGCCAGCTTGGAAACCTGCCCCTGGCTTTGTCTCCAAGAACGTAGCTCCTTCTCCTGTGTTCTCACAGGCCCCAGAGATTTTGCTTCTCATGGTGGAGACTCAGTGCTTGGGTTTTATTAGGGGCACCTGGCCTTGGAGGCACAGTCCGAATGTTTACTGCACAAACGAGAGGTCCTGGGGTGGGGAGGTGGGAGCAGAGCCTCACCCACTCCAGTGTCCATGGGTACCATCTGCCTGTGGACCCCAAGGGCAAGAGGGCCGTGAAGCCGCCTACAGCAAGGCTGCAGCTTACATCTTGTGGCTGACCCTGCTTATTGCCATCCCAGCTGCCATTTCTCCCTCCTCACCAACAGAGCCCCGATTTGGAGCCAGCAGCAGCGTGCCCAGCCTCGGGGGTTAATTTAGGATTTGGCTGAGCCATTCTTGGCAACGCCTTTTGCTGGGGTTGTTTTTGATTTGGGCGCATTTCCCAGATCTGGCCAGCAAGCTTTAAGGGGAGGTCTGGGTGGGGGGGTTTCTGGACACAAGAGAGGCCTTATTGCCCCCTTTCCTCCCTTACTGCTTCCTGTGAGGACACGATGCCAGGAACTTCTGCAGCCATCTTGTGGCCATGAGGAGCAAGTTAAGCGAGGTGCTGCGATGCCTCCTCCCAAAGTGCTGAAATCACAGAGCCACCTGTCCCACCCTGGAACCTCTGACCTCCAGACTCCCTTTTTATGAGAAATCACAATGCCTGTGTTGCTTAAGTTACCAGTGGTTAGATATTCTGATACTTGTAACTCAAAACAGTTTCAAATTTATATTATAAATGTAACATGCTGGGGATTGCCCATCTTATAGAAGACGGGGTTTTTATTGCAAGCAACAGAAACTGCCTCAGGCTGATTTAAATGGCAAAAATGTGCATTGGAAGGCTGTTCATTTCCTCACAAAAGTGGCAGGAAGGCTGGAAAACCAGGCTCAGAAAACAGTAGAAATCAAGGGGGTGAGGCAGCCAGGGCGATCAGCTGAAATCATGCCGGGGAACTGGTTGGCGGGGACACTTCTGCCATCACCACGGAATCCAGATGCCTCAATTGGCACTGCCACCTGCCCTTGGGCACTCAGCCATAGCTGCCCCTGAAAACCAGATGCCCCTGTCTTGTCTTGATGCTACTTCTTTGCACCACTTGTTCTGGAGCACAAACATCCTGTTGGCCTAGCCCATGCCCTGTGTCAATGCCCTAGCTGCCTGGGGAGTGGGGGAAAGGGGTACCTCAGTGTGTGTTGCTACCGCTGGGTAACAAACAGCCCCGTGTCTCAATGGCATGCAAAAATGGATGTTTGTTTTCTCATGTGTCTGTGATTCCGCTGGAGGGTGCTTGTTCTGGGCTGCCCTCGGCTGGGCATGCTCTGCCTCCTGGTGCAAGGCTGTGGAGTAGCCGGGAGTCTCAGATCCACCTGTCTCACAGCCTCGGACTAGCAGCTGGCCAACATGCTCTACAGTGCCACCAGAGGACAAGTGGAATCACGCGAGCCTTCTAAGGTCCCTATCTGGAAACCGTATGCTGTCTCTTCTGCCCATATGCCTTTGGCCAAAGCAGATGACAGGGTCAAGTCCAGAATCAGGGCTGGGGACATATCCTCAAACTTGAGAAGGAAGACCTACATAGGAGTGTTGCAAAGGGCAGGACACAGGAACAGAGGCGGACTGAGGCCATCGTTGGATCAGTCATACCAGTGGCTTTAGTTTAGTGTTTTTTTTTTTTTTAATTTTTATTTATTTGACAGAGAGCGAGAGAGGGAACACAAGCACGGGATGAGGGAGAGAGAGAGAAGCAAACTTCCCGTGGAGCAGGGATCCTGATGCGGGGCTCGATCCCGGGACCCTGGGATCATGACCTGAGCCGCTGCCCCTGTCCTGCCATCCCATAAAGCCGTCCCCTGGGCCCCTGCCCCCTCAGTTCCAGCTTCTTGCTACTCTCTTTGGCAGCTCTGCCTTATCCCCCCCCCCTTCACCTACACTCAGCCTGGGATGGGGGGGAGGATAAGAGGCCTAGGTCCTCAGCGAACCCCTTCCTATTCCATGGTAAAGGGTGAGTTCCATGCCTGGCCATTTCTGGCTTCCTTCAGGTTCTCCCCTTTTGCTTCGTAATCAAACCTGGCTCTTGCTTTGCCTTTCAAAACTTTGATGAGGGCCTGGTTTGGAAGTCAAAGACGGGCCCTGGATGGTTTTCCTCTTTGCCTTCCTGCTCCGATGGCCCGAATTCACCTCTACGCGATGTGGGTACCCCGGATTGACTAAGATTCCATATAAGGTAGTGCAGAAAAGCAAGGCATGAAAACTAAACTCTCGAGGTAGGGTTTTCTTCCCTAACAGCTATTGAATGCTTGCGAGGAAGCAGGCGCTGAGCTAAGTGCTTTACATGCGTTATCTATTTAATCTTCCCAAGAGCCTGCAACGAGGAGTACCGCCATCCACATTTAACACAGGGCAGCCTGGCTCAGAGAGAAGTCACTTTTCCGTTGTCAAACAGGTGGAGAATTGGTAAGGGCTGGACCACTAAGGAATGTTCAGGAGTTTAGGTTTGTTTTATTATTATTATTTTTACAGATTTATTCAAGTAATCTCTACACTTAATGTGGGGCTCGAACCCACGACCCCGAGACCCAAGAGTCGTGTGTTCCTCCAACTGAGCCAGCCAGGTGCCCCAGGAGTTTAGGTTTTAATTTAGCTTGTATGCTGAGAAGTGCTATGGCCTGGATGCAGAGGAAGGGCATTCTAGGCAGGGAGACAGCCTGTGGCAGAATGCAGCAAGGCTGGAGTGGCGGACGTGAGAAAGGGGAGAGTGGGAGATGATGCTGGGGAAGCT